GGGGACCTCCCTCGGCTCTCGGTTGCCGCCTCTGACAGAGAACGAGCGGGGCGGTCACCGCAAACAGAAAGCGTGCCCGAGCCATCCAGCCTCCAGGCACAAACCTTCGCCTTCTCTTAGGCCCTCGCTGGTGCTTCGTCCTGGCACCCAAAGCGCTAACCACAAATCTAGTTCTTAGCCCCCGAGCTGTGGCTGAGTGCTGGGGGTGGAAGGCACGCTCCCAGCTAATGCTCCATCCAACCTCAGCCTGGCCTCGCCCGCTCCCCTCCCCCCACATCCCCAACCTGGAGACCACCCACCATCATCAAATGTAACCCTTTAACACCTGCAGGGGGATTACATCTCCTTCTTTAAAAGACAAGGCTTCTAAGGCCCAGGTTAGTCACCTGCCCAAGGTCACCCAGGTGGATGGTCAGGGTAGAAAAGAAGCCAGAATCTCAGCCAGGCAGGCTCCTTCCTGCCGCTTGTGGGCCAAGGTGTGTGCCCATATTTTGCAGACCTCCTCTCCTGTCAACTCCTATTCGGGCCCAGAACCTTCTCTCTACCTGGTCTCTCCCCCAGAAACGAACCTGGGCTGTGGTTAGAGAAAAGAGAGCCCACCCATCTCCCCAGACCCCACCTCAGTTCAACGCAGGGCAGCACAGAACCCCGCTCTGCAGCCTCGGCTGTGAGTCCAGCCCCCCGTTAACAGCATCACCACACCATCCCTCTCCATGCTGCCTGTACCCCCGCGCACAGAGATCTTTTAAGCTGGAGCAGTTCCCTGGGCGGGAGTGAGGCTTAAGCAGAGTGTGCTCACCCTCGTGGGGCACGCAGTACACAGGGCCTTCGTCAGTGGTGTCGAAGGAGGAGAATGAGGCCCGGGAAGACCAGGATGGTGAGGGCTGCTCCAGCCCCGATGGTGGCTCCAGGAAGCTGCAGTTGAGTGTGTTATCCAGATCGTGATGGGCCACTAAGGGAAGAGGGAGGCACGGCTGACAGGGGGCCAGCCCTGCCTCAGAGCCTGTGCCCTCCTGCCACAAATGATGGAGCACCAGCCCTACCCTGCCTGTGAGTGGCACAGGCAATTCAACAGGCAGTGACAACAGAAGCAGAACCCCTCACCCAGGGCCCTTTGGTAGGGCGGAGGGCTCCAGAAAGGACCCAGGGCACTGCAGGGGATCCAGGCAGGACCCTCTCCTGCCAACTGGTGCCAGCAATTCCCTTGCACAGGTGCCACAACTCCAGGTGAACACACCAACATATACTCCTACAAACTGGGGAGTGGGGGGGGGCTGTCCGACCCAGATGTCCACACACCCTCATGGCACCCCAGATGCAAGCACTCACACAGAGTCAGAGCCCAAAGCCTCCCACACCTGCCTGCACACCTAGGCCTCCTACCTTCCTCCCTGGGCTCGCGCACATTATCATCCCCTTTTTCCTTCTCTTCCGTCGCACCACGCCCACGCCCACCCACATCAACATTCAGGGCCCAGCATTTCCCCACACCGACACCTTCACACCCATTTCCCAGCAGCCTCTTGCGGAAGAAGGTGTTCCCCCAGCGACCCTGTGCGGGTATCTTTACCTACGACCTTGGGTAGCTTCTGCCTGCGGAGCGGGATCCGGGGCAGCTTCATGCTGATGCGGCTGAAGCGTCCGCACAGTCGTTGTGGCGGCTTCTTCCTCCCAAGTGAGAGCTCCCTGCGGGGCGGAGCGGGGGCGGGGCCTGAGTGAATGGGGCGGGGCTGGGGCGGGGCCTAGAGGGAGGTTCGTTCTCCGAGGGAGCGGAAAGGGAAAGGGA